ATTCGCAATAACTAAATTAATCAAAATACCCCCTAATTTTTCAAGGGTATTTTGGTCAATTTATTTCTTGCAAATTATTTTTTTTGATATTTTTATTAGATTCTCCTATTTTTGAAGAACACATGCCTAAAATTTCAAGTCATTTGGATTTGTAGAAAAAAAATTAAAATTCAAACACGAAATGAGGTCATGACCGTCAGATCCGCCGAGATTTAATATGGGCCGTTGGGTTCATATGTTCATATGAGTTAGTGGGCTAATCTCAGCATTTTCCATTATATAGATATATTAAAGCCATGGAACAATAATTTTATGGTCTTAACTAGTGTCATTAGAGCAATAATTGACAATTTCTATCTAAACTTAATAAATCCAACAACAATCCTTACCCTGTTGTCCCAACACAAAACCTATCATAGATTTATTGGAAGCATAAATGAAACAACAACAATAATATTATGAAACAACAACAATAATATTAAACACAAGAACTACAATACTAAATAACAAGAACTGTAGCATAAGATATATGATTATTGTTCAAAGAAAAAAACAAAAAGACCCTCAATATAGGATTGTAATTAAATAAAACAAAACACAAAGACGCAAATATGCAAAATAGTGATCCATATAAAATGCTACATTGCATACACCAATGAAATAAAAAAATAAAAAATGAAAATTAATTAAACTTCTCTATGCATAAAGAAAGCAACAAAATGCTTAAGAAAATTCAAATCTCACACTGAATTCCTAGCTGCCTAAATTTTTAGTAACATTAAATCTTTTTCTTGCTCTTTATAAGAATACCAAGGGTTCAAAGAAAAACAAGATTTTTTACTAGGTTACTCTTCCCCTAACTACCTATTATTTTGAGATATAAGATGGTTTTGATAACAATATCTTATGTTTTTGAGAAATATATTGCTTGTATTTTTTTTTTACACTTTTTTAAGGGAACTCATTAGTGAAATTTTGAAAGAATTTTTTGCTAAATAAATATTCTTGATTTTCTACCATAGTTAATGTCCTTTTCTTTAAACCAAAATTCAATAATATTAAGTTAATAAAGAAATAAAGTTATATGGAAGAAACGTTTTTAGAAAAAATGAAATGAGGAGGATTTATATCGGTTCCATTAAAAACGCATTTTTTTAAAGATCTTTTGAAAAACTTGGAGTTCTTAACGGACTTCAAAAATCAGAGATTTTTTGAAAAAATTGTGTTTTAAATGGAGACTTGCTAACTATGGTTTGAGCCAATGCTCCACTGATGCACCTAAAAGAAAACCCAGCAGCTCATCTCGACGGTTCATTAATGATGAGTACAATCACTAAACGGCATGGACGCCTTACATTATATACCAAGCAACGAGAGTGTAAACCTAACAGTAAAACTAGTGTTTTAATCCTGGATTGGTGGGCAGATCGTTCACATTGTTCAGGGGGTCTAAATCAATTGAAAATAGAAGTCCAGAAAATATTAAACACTAAATAAAATAAAATAAAATTTAAAACAGAGGTTACGAGTGGGGATCTTCTAGAGGGAACCTACAAAAATATTAGAGATTCCTAGAAAAAGATAAAAATATAAAGGGGGGTTTTTAGGGGGGAACTAGTCCAGAACCTATACTATGGGAATCTCTAGGTTTAAAACATTGAGTAAAACATGGTGGAAAATATGCCCATTAGAAGGGTAATAACTGCTATTAAAACACTAAACCCCCTGCCAACCATACTATATAAATTAGTACAAGTAATGGTTAAGGAAGGTGAAAATGGTTCATATGTAAGTCATCATCATTATCAAAGCTCTTCCCCAACTAATTGGGGTTAGTGACACAAATCCTGGTCCGCCATTCTGGTTCATATATAAGTAATAGCCATAAAATATGGCCTTAGGATGCGAAAATTCAGGCATCAATGGCCTTATTATTTTGGACTACAAGCACGACCAATAATGGCACATCCCTTGGCCATGCAATTTTGTCTAACCACAGATGCCAAAAAATGTGGTTTTATTAGAGGGGAATTATCATAATAGCCCTAGGTATAGATGTATGATTTGTGATTTCATCCACCACCAGTTGTAGGATGCCAAAAAGTAAATGGTTCTATTACAGTGAAATTATCATAATAGACCTCGGTATAGATATATGATTTGGCATAGATCCCTTGGAGTATCTCTTGTTGAAACTCTAAAATAATTCATTGCACATAAAAACAATCCAATTTTATTAACTTGGAAGCCACTGATAAATGTGTGGCATGGTAGATAAAATTTGGGTCCTCCTTCTAATACCGGCAAGAAGATCTGAGGGCGTGTTTGACACGCAGAAGAGAGGGATAAAATATCATGGAAGGGGTGTCTTCTCCCGCACAAACAAGGGAGATGTTTTGGTGGAACTTGGATCTCTATTATCCAAAAGTTACACCAAAACGAACACACCCTAAGGGCTCGTTTGGTTCATGCGTAACAATTTGCATACATAAAACAGTTTTCATATGTAAACAGTTCCCTGTTAAAGAGTTTTACAATCCTGTTTTTCCCATGTTTGGTTCACATGTCTAGAATGCCTGGAATTACTGTGTACCCAGTTTATTATGTTTCGTAACCCATGAGTGAACTTTATCCCAGAATTTGGATTAATACATAAAAATCTGCATTAACATTTTTATTCTTTTACAAACCAAACCAATAAAAAATCTAATATAGGAAATAACTTAAGGTAACCATTTCTCAAAAAAGAATAAAAGACAAAAAAGAAATAACCAGATATGCTAGATTAGAGACCAACAACTAATATCTTCAAGAACACAAACTACCAAATGAACTATATTTCAGCTCCATGACACAAATCAGTTACAAGAAGTAACAAGTACTTCTGAATACGTACCATAAATTTATAATTACGTGTTTCTAACTGCAACTTGGCTTCATAGCATGAAAGCCATTTTCTATTCATTGTCAAAAACACGCATGCAAACTCAAATGTAGCCTCCACTTGCTTATGACAATTAGTAAGAACCGTGACCAAAACACCAGAATGTGTGAATTCATATAGTTGCTCTTTGTAAATTGAATTATTAAAGGAGTGCATATGACCAATAAAGAAATAAAAACAGGGCATCAGTATCCAACAAAGATACATAACTATGTCACTATCAAACTGCTTATTATGAGATCATAATCAGAAAGCATATCGGCAAAAATGAAATGGAAAATAATCCATATTCTAATAAAGAGAAAAGCATTAAAAACGTAGCTTCAAAATTCATGTGAAATTTACTCATAAAGCATTTGAGTAGAATCTTAAAAAAACCACTAATGGCTTCTATACAACAACAAAAAACCAGTAAGAAATAAAAAAAAAAAAAAAAAAAAACAGAACCAAAAAACCAGAAAGAAATTAAATAAATAAATAAATAAAATCCACAAATTTCTACAGAAAAAAATGGTTCTATACAACAACAAGCCCCATTGTAAAAATCATAAATGGTTTCTATACAACAACAAAAAACCAGCAAGAAATATAAAAAAGAATACAACAAAAAACGATACCCAATTCTCAAAAAATAAAACCATACCCACATTTTTTCTACAGAGAAAATTGTGCTTCTATACTCAATAAAAAATCAAAAAATTTCCATCGGGAAATCATAAAAAATGTTTGCATTGGTAACTAAATAACAGCACCATCAAGAGGGAAAACCCAGGAAAATCACAAAACTTGGTGAAGAAGATGAGATATTTTGTAGGGGGGTCGCATGAGGGAAACCCTACATTGTTTGGTGAAGAATATTTACACTATGATGAAGAAAAAGTAGCCAAAAAAAAAAAAACAGTAAAAAAAAGTAACAACCTTACCTTGTTGAAGAAGATGAAGCTTGCAAATGGATCCTTGTTTGAGGAAGATGAGGTATTGCGAGAAAGAGCGGGGGGGGGCGAGGGACGCAGAGCATTTGTGAGAGAGAGGCTAGGGTTTGAGAGAACGCGGGAGAGAGAAGGGCGAAGGAGAGAGAGGGGCGAAGGTTTTATGAGAAGAGGGCTTTGAGTGAGATTGTTTCATGCGGGCTGGACTGCATTTCTACAATATACGGTCTATAGGTATTTGGATGCAAATAAGTAGTCCCTTTAAAATCATAGGGAAGTGTTAGCAAGTTGCAGTGCTTTGCATGTGCATTAATTGTTTTAAGCATAACAAAAAATATAGAATTAACTTAAAATAAAAATACAAAAATATATATAAAATATAATTATTAATGGAATTCCTAAGATATGGAATTAATCTGACAACTCAAGCACAAAAATATAATTGCATTATTAAGTAAAAGTAAAATAATGATAAATCAAACTAGCACAAACTTATGTAGTAGAACTGTGCAAGCTTTAAGAAAATAAAAATATCGATTTCTCTTTAGATTCTAATTCGAAATTCACTTTGTTTCATGCTCAACACTTGGAAACTTACTAATCTAAAACTTTCGGAATGGTCTTTGACTTATCTTGTTACATGTGGAGCAGTTGCATCATGTTTGAGCAATTACTATAGTACTCAGACTCATCCAATAAGAAACAATTATCAAAATGTACACGAGAGATGATCTATTCAACATTTGACTCATTCCTTTTGATTCAATGTCATAAATATCATCCAAGAATATATAACTATGCTTTAAAACAGTTCATATTTTAGGTGTGGTTTGATAAATTTCCTTTCGAGTATACCGTTGAAAGAGTGCAATCAACTGTTTTAAAATAGTTGATAAATAATTGATATTTTAGGTGTAGTTTGATAAATTTCTTTCCTAATTTATTATGAAAGGAGTACAGCACCTAGACTTAAAACATTATTGATATTTATTTATTTTAGTTTAGGTGTGGAATTCGAACCCGAGATGTTATGTCACACTATCAACAGTAAGTTATGGTAGTATGTACCACATCGATCTAAGTCATGTGGCCTATTCCACATTTTTCATATATTTCTTGGATGGGGGTTTTTATTGTTTACACCAAAGAAAAAAGGACCATAAAGTCATGCAGCATGCACACTCATTTATACTTATCATTTTATAAAGTTCACATTTGTAAGTTCATGTTGATTATCTAGATTGCATCTCCATAAGTTTATTTCAAGAATTAATCCAGTAGTTTAATACACTATAATTTTCAATTTGGACCCTCGATCCGGATGAGAATCAATCATGACCAAACTAGGCACGAGATGGTGTGGATCCAGACCATGTTCTCCCTAGAATCAGTTCCTTTGTTATATTTTTATTCTTTTCTTTCTAAGCATATCCAACGTTTTATTATGTCCCTTTAAATCTCCACCCCAAAAGTTCATGTTTTTTAATATTGTTTTGGATCACCGATATCACTTATCTCACATAGCTGTGGGCCAACAACGGTCAGCCCCATCAATCCGGGTTTTGAAACATTGATTTTATCATTATAGGCTGAATATTAATTAGACAGAGAGAGCGAGGAGGGGGGGGAGTAAAAATTGGTCACAGAAGCTCAGGTTATGCGCTACTATTTAAAAACCCGAAAACGTTAAGGTGAAATTGGCCATGGGGTTGACCAGATCGGCAACTCTATCGGCTGAATAAGAGAACATTAAATATTTTTTATATTTTAAATAATTAAAAATTAAAAAAATAAATTGAGTAGGGACCAGGTAATTTGGCCAATCCGGAGGTTTCTCCCACCGATTCTCAATCCTTGCGATTTTTAGATCATTGACGTCACTATATGATTTATGAAGGTATACGTTCACAAATAAATACGATAAATTCATGACTTCGGAAGTTGAAAGTGGTATGAGCTTTTCACAAAATGAGAAGGGATTGTGAATAAAAACTGTCTTAGGATGCAAAATATTCAGTGGCATGTAATCCTTGTATTTTATTATGGGAATTACAATGTAATTTACATGTTTACTTTCATGATCTATGATGCCTTCTCTCACTAAACCTCACACATTAAAAAAGGAGTGGAGAAGAAGGCCACTTGTCAAAGTAAATGGGAGATGACTCCACCCTTTCATCAATCAAACAAGGGTTTGGTTGGATGGCTCCATCATCTTTTGCATGACTAGGTTGAGCATTCTCAATTTCTTTTAGATCGAGTTCTCTCTCTAAGAACTTGGCCCAATTTGCAAATTCTTTCTCATCTGTGACTTCTTCAAACCCCATAATTTGAGGTTTGTCTCCATTTGAATTGGTAGGCCCATCCAAACTTGACACTAAACTTGAATTGTCATCAAATATATCATTGAATGCATCAAAAAACCCTAATTCAGGCTCAATAGGGATTTCAAATGTATCCTCTAGCAAGTTTGGATGGCAATTTTTGGGGGATAAATCAAATTCAAATGATGGGTTTGCTTCTTTAGGGTTCGATTGATCTTCTTGGGTACAATTTGAGGACGAAGACTGGCTTGAGGAGCCACATGATGAACTAGGATCACCAAAACAAGAACTTTTCACTTTTGATCCCAACCTTTTCTTCAAGTGAGTATTCCACACATTCTTTATCTCATTATCTGTCCTCCCAGGTAAACGTGAAGCAATTAAGGACCACCTGCATTATATTATTTATTAGGGGCAAACTCAAGTCAACAAGAGAAATGAATGATTAATTGGTTAAGTATATCAAAAGAGGACTTGGCCATTTCTTTCCCTAAGCCCAAATGAGAGAGGAGGGGGGTTGTTTTAGGTTAGTAAGTACTTCCCCCTTCGGCCGTTCAATTTAGATTAAGTGAGCCACTGACGATCATAGGTTGTTTTATTTTTAGTTTCTTTTTAACAAATTATACGTACATGAAATTTGGCACGTGCCATCTTCGTACATAAAAAATATTACAAGTAATTTTTTAATAAAATATTATGATCAAAATACCAATTGAATCCTTCAAGAGTATTTTAGCCATTTTATTTTATTAAAAATATTTTTTTAGAGCTTTTGTAAGTGTAAATTTAAGAGACGAGTAGATGTCCAAAATTTGGTGTCAAAATAATTTATAGAAAATAAATTAAAAATAAATAGTGTAGAGACGTGGCTTTGTAATTGGAGCTATATCAGCTGTCCATTCAAAATGAACGGCCGGATAAGGGAAAGTATGTAAATTTTATGCATTAGGGGAAGCGTAGAAAGACTGCCCTTTACATAAGGCCCAAAATGTTTCGCGCTAAAGTAGTATGAAAGTGGGAAATAAAAAGAGTGGTCCAACTTTATTGGAAAAATTAGACCACCAGACTGGCTTTTGGAAAAAGAAGTTAAACCATTTGGAACGGAACTCACATGACTGACTTTTCATTGTCTCTCTTTTTCTTTTGTAGAAATGTATTAAACTACAGTTAACATTTAAACTATTTAACATCCTACTCATATTCTTTTATCTAATTTCAAATAACCCATCAAATGACACATCAAAGTAGGTTTTGACAAGAATGAGATAACTCATAAGATAAAACGTTAAATAGTTCACCTCTCACGTATTTTGATAAATTTCCTTTTATATCTTAATGTTAACGTATAAATAACTCTAATCATTTCATGTATTTTGACAAATTTCCTTTTATATCTTAATGTTAACGTATAAATAACTCTAAAGAAAACTGATGTAAATATACAAAATTATTTGTGAAATTTAGAAGAATGGCATTCATTTGGAAGAATGGATTACAGTACCTGTTGCCCCAGAGCTCATGGAGTTTGATAATGGTTTCTTCTTCTTCCCGCGAAAAATTCCCGCGCTTGATGTCTGGTCTTAGATAATTTGTCCATCTTAGGCGACAACTCTTCCCGCAACGCAGCAGCCCTTGCAAACAGAGGCATAGACGACAAAAAATTCAATTATTTTTCTAGATTCCGTATGCATCAATAGTTGCGGTCGATTAGTTTTCAATGTAAGAGATCAAAGGAGAGCTAGGCTTATGAAGATTTGGTGAAAAATAACTCAACCCAGATGTGTTTCTGTGTGTCTGGTGAGAGAGAGAGAGAGCAATTGAGAGAGAGAGAGAGAGATGGGGAAGAGAAAAAGAAAGAGCAATAAAGAGAGAAACATAGAGAGAGAGAGAGAGAGATACCAGCTTGTTTAGGGAGGGCTCGCCAATTGCCATGTCCATGGTTTTTAATGTAGGACACTAGTTTCATGTCCTCTGAGGGAGTCCATGCTCCTTTGTTCAAACCCACCTTCTCACAACAAGGTGCACGGCCACGACCCATGCTTCAACTCTGTGATCTCCTCTCTCTCTCTCTCTCTTCTACTCTTCGTTCGTCTTACTTATTCTCTCTCTCTCTCTCTCTCTCTCTCTCTCTCTCTCTCTCTCTCTCTTTTCACTCTTTGTTGCCTTGTTTATGCTCTCTCTCTCTTTCACTCTTTGTTGCCTTGTTTGTGCTCTCTCTCTCTTTTCACTCCTTGTTGCGTTATTTATGGTCTCTGTTTCTCTGTGGAGGGAAATTTTGAGTTGGAGTTGTACCATACTATTGCCATGTCACTATCAATAGGTAGGATATTGGTGAGTTTTCTCTCTCTAAACAAGTCTAATTTATCAGCCATAAGTCCAAGCGTTAGGGCAACCAACATTAAATACTTTTTACTAGTTGGTGAGTTGGGGTGTTCCTTTCCTCTAGGAAGACTTCCCTCTACGCAATTCAAAACCTAACTCTTTGTAATTTGTCACCTTAAATATGGTTTTCAACCTCAACCTAACTCATTGCTTCCTTAACTAATTGAAGTCTTAGTTGGGGTTGAATCCATGTATTCATGCTAGTTGACAAAACGACTCATTGTAAGCCTTTGTTTTGTTGCCTATTAATGGGTCATGGACCTTGAGGCTCTACTGGTTTGACTCGAGGATATCCCGAGTCATATCGGATAATGGGGGTTGCGGTCATAGCAGTGGTACCACGTGAGAATGGGGGTTGCGGTCATAGCAGTGGTACCACGTGAGTCCCAATTAAAGGTCATTCTCACTATTAAATAATAAAAAACTGAATGACCTGAGTCTCCCTGTTTTCATAATTTTGGTATTTTGATTATTAAAAATTACCAATTCAGCACGAACTCGCCTCAATTAGGCTTGGGAGAGTTCGGCTTGTGCCCTGGCAAGTCAAAACCTGATTCTGACCTATTAAAGAGTGCCCCAAACCAAGGCCACACATCCAATATAGAAAACTTTTGAATGGTCTAGATCTGATATTGATGCCCAATTACATCAAGGTCTAAATGAAGCCATGGAAGCTTCAGATTGAACTTGGTTCCCACGATCAGCTCTTGGTTGGCCAGATATCCATTGTGACAAACTATAGTTAGGTCTAAATGATACATAAATCTTAACCATAAATGTCAAACCTAATTAAACTCCCACATTTTTGAAAAAAAAAAAAGCCTATTAAACTAAGGGAAAAGTTCATATAGAGCCAAGGCTCTATACAATCAAATTTATGCCTACTTCAAAAATTGCACCAAAAGTGGTTGTTTTGATGGTCAAATAGCTTCAAATTGATCATCTCAATATCAAGATGCATAGACATGAGAAAAAAATGGATCTCAAGTTTTAGAAATAGTGTATTTTGTGATGCATTTTTTTACCTTCAATTTTCAATATTTTCAAGTTTTCATAGATATATCGATCTACACTATTTTTGAATCTTTAAACTTTATAAATAAATATGAAAATGTATTTTGAGGCTATCACAAAGATTTCCAATATTGAAACCATATTTCTCAATACTATTTGAAGGTAGGCTCTAATTTGATTGTTTAGAGCCTAGGCTCTATACAAACCGCACCCTTAAACTAAAACTTAGTGCCAATTTGGATGTATCCAAAATTGGAATATTTTTGGAAAAGTTATCGTTAAAAAAAATTCAAATTAGACTTAAATTTTTTTAGGATGAAAGTGTAGCCTTCTCTCACCCAGGCAAACCCTACACTCAACTTTCTCACTATTTACGCATGACCCAACTCTCTTGCTCTCTATCTAATTGCAAACCAAAAACCCAACTCTCTCTCTAGCACACTGCTGCCCAACTCTCTTGCTCTCTCTATCTCTCTAAACAGCTCTTTTGTTGCTGCTAATGGTTTAGTGGCCCCAAGAATCTATATCGACTGGAATCCATGATTTATTCAGAGTCTACATCTTTTGACAGGCATGTTCTATGGTTCTTCTGGTTCTATCTCCATTTCTCCTTCAATTAATAATCAGAGTCCACATTTCCTCACAACCCAAAGCCATGAAAGAACAAACACTAGCTTTTAAAAAAAAAAAAAAAAAAAAATTTTGCAAAGAACCCAAGTGTTTTGAAAAAATAACACAAATCCCAAATTTTCAGAGACAGACAAGTTCTTGCAAAAAACCCTAGGGGTTCATCAGAATCAACGAAAACCCCAAATTTGGAGTGAGGATAAACTTAATACACTGAACCAAAATATGCAGAGAGTGAAAAGAGATCAAAAGAGATAAGAGGGGAGGAGGGAGAGATCATTTGGTGAGACGAGGGATTTGTGACAGAGTAATACCAATCCATTGTGGAGGCGAAAATAAAATACTAGTACAAAACCTAATTGACTTTACAAGAATAGAAAAAAAGCTTTGCATTTTTTTTTCGGTTGGTATTTAAAAAACTTGCAATTTTTATGAATAAAAAATTTCCTTTATTTGACATCGAGAGAGTGGCCCTTAACCATCAATTTGACAGCTTAATGTACACATTCGTGCATGTAGGACTAGACATAAAAAATGACGCTGTTTCTCGTAGAGAGGTAGGTCCCACATTTTGAGTAGGGTTGGTGAGTATGGAACGTCCAAACAAGAGAGAGACTACAGTGAAAGCCTATGTAATATGACGTCATGCTGCCTTCTCCTCCCATGATGAAAGCCTCATGACTACGGGAAATCATAGTCACGACAATCATGAATATCTGATCAATAGTTGGATGGTGATAATGAGAGCGGATCGACCGCTGGAGTCTTGCCCAGTGCATCTATGTCCCACTCTCTTTTCAAGACCATCCATTCATTGATTGGCCGGCGATGACCGCCCGACTAGTATATACTCAACTTATAACCTTTCTATGTTGTAATTACGCCCCTATGTTTGAAAATCAAACTGGTGGTGGGTCAAATAGGTCATCCATTGGATCGATTTGAACCGGCAAAATCAGTGATGCAGTTCGGCTAACTTAACCAAACTGGATAAAACTTTAAACAAAATTTAAAGAATTTAAAATGTTTAAATAAGGTTTAGAAGCTTCAAATATTTCTAAAAATATTATTTTATTATAATAAAACTCTTTTTAATGTTGTTTATACCAGTATTATCAGGATTGCATCGGCAACCGAATTAGTGAGGGATCTAATCCTGCCAAAACATGTCCTACTACCGGTTGAACCAATTTGACCATATTTAATAATATAAATAGTGGTTCAAAAATATATAATATATTAGAAAAACTTCTTTGTTTGGCCAATGGGTTGGTCGGAAGCGCTAAAAATCAATCAAACACAAGTTTTGATTGATTTTTTTTTTACCAAAATCAATTTTTACTATGAACCAAAATGGCCAAAGCAACAATCAACGGCCTACCAGTTAGACTGTTGATTCAATATTTTCTTGATGACTATGGTTTATACACCCCTAGTCCGAGTCCGAGTTCTTATTCAAGGAGGCACCCTGGGTGGCTACTGGTCGTGGTTCGAGTTAAATAGGTGATTTTTAGAAACCTAGGTAGAACAATGGTCGCTGAGCCCTTGATTATTATGAGTGTATCATAAACCTCTATCAGATCAAATTAAATTATTGTTTACAAAATATACTTTCTAGTCTTCTCACGAGTGGCTGATCCTTGGTTAGATCAATTATGAAGGTCGATTTCTTTTAAGAGAGTTCCTCTTGGATACAATTAGTTGCGGAGAGATGGTTGAACAATAAAAGTGTGGACTCGTTATCACCATCCACTCACTTGGTCAACGGTGATGAAAAAGAAAATAGAGGTGTATAATTCACTAATTTAATTGTACTGTGACGACCAGACCCCTCCATCATGGTCGTACCCGTTAATGAAGCGTGATAATACATGATGAAAGAACCATATGATCATGTGGATCATATTGCAATATCCATCCGATCAATTCTTAGACGGTAATAGTGAAAATAGACCAACTATTGGAGCCAAGCCATGTAGTTGTGTGTCCTATTCTCTCACCCTCAGACCGTTCATTTGTTGAATTGACCGTGATGACCACTAAGATTATGGATTCTTATTTATGCCCTTTCTAGTAGAAACCCGACAATTTGCCAAAATTTCTAGCATACCCCTACACGTTGTTGGAGTAATTTTTCTCTAATGTCGAACCTATGCCTAAAACATTGGAGGTCCAGATAGGGAATCAGCTATCGAGATTGGAATCATTGGGAAACCGGTTTGGTTCAGCTTGGAATCGGTCCTATTTAGTAGAAGTTACTCTGTTTTGTCAAGGAATCAGGCGATCCAAAGTAACCAAATCGCCTATATCTCAACTAATTTGTATTTTTAATTATTTTTACATTTATCATTATCATTATAGTTTTTTTTCTATAGATTTGGCCAATTATTTTTAAATTTTAAAAATATAAAAATAATGTCTTAATACTCTGGCCGAGAAATCTTCAGAATCGCGATCAAGATCTAGCTTGCTAATCTAGGTTTCTAAAAGCTAGTTGGAGCAATGGGCAGGAACCGACAATTGTCACATCCAGGCCCTGGATTATGAAGTTAATTTTTTCTGAGGCGGGTTTTGATCTCTCTCTCTCTCTCTTTCTCTCTCTCTCTCTATGTGGTTGTGAAATTGGTTTCCTAAGAACCAATTAGGAGGGATTGTCAAAATCAAGACTTTTAGGAGTCATGTCTGTCGAAGTCAAGAAGGATCTTGGGGTGGGGTGGGTTGGGGTGTGTTTATTTATGGTCCTTTCACAATCATGGTTATAGTGGTTTATTAAGCTAAATAGCATATATGATAGTGAAAATAGTGTGACATAAGCATTGTGTAATGCTCACGTATGAGGGTAGTTTGGTAATTTTTTATGTTGAGCTTGAGTTTTTTTTATTTTTTTTTATTTTTTTTTCTTTCTGTTGGATGAGGTTTTTATAAGGGGTTGCATGAAAACAAAATAAAGTCTTGCCTCAAATCCTCATCCGGAATGCACTTTAGGCTAATGAAAATCTATATGGTGGCTCTAAAATCAATATTCATACTTAACAGTGAAATTTGAAATTAAAAAATAGTAAAGATCTTGTACATCTATGAACATTTAATTTTAGGGTGAAATCGACAATCT